TGTATATATATATATATATATATGTATAAGTAGTAAAACTGGTTAAAATGTCGGCAAAAAACCGTTAATAAAACACGAATGTAAGCATAAATCACAGTAAAACTCACTCCATCACAGACACAGCACAAATTATCACCATCACCGACGACGGGCTACATCCACCTGTAGTGTTCATGTAGCAGGAACTCCGCCAGTCTTTCCCCGAAGCAATGCTTCGTCGAGAGTCCACGCAAGTCGCTCGGTAAGCGATTTCACAGCTGGGCAACACTTATATGAAAGGAATCGATATAAATGTCTATTCTAACCCACGGCACAACTAGTTCCGAGAAATCCACTTTCCTCGACCCTGCAGCATCGAGTGGTCGGAAGATGAACTTCTTAGCCAAATACAATCTGTGCAACATCAGTAACGTTGTACTAATGTAAATTGAAAATTTAGTTTATGAGATTTGAAATCTCACGCTTTAGGATATTCTCTTACCTATAAAGGCCAATCAAAAGCGTGCGCACATCTATTAAAACACAAATAGAATTTGTTTATACTTACCTTTGTCCAGCAGCTTGCTGCTGCTGCAGTTATCATTAGTCAGCCTCAAACGCCCTTTTCGGTAAGTCGCTTTGCGCTCGTCTTTATAATTTTCACGTGTATCGTTTTATGTAAGATTATTGTAACGAAAACGATTCACAATTTCGATTGACACATAATTTCTCTGTCTGACTCAAAAATTAGTTCTGCCTTTTTTTTATCTTGCATGTAAGCAAGTATTATGACTTGTTAAAGTAGAATTAAATAGAGAGATTTTTTTTTATAATAAACGGCTAAAGTGTTACAAAGTGTGTTGTGCATTTATTATTGTGTCCTTTTTTTACATCCTTTTTTCACGCTCCCCCAAATCCGGCGTGCGATATAAAAAATATACAGTCCACTATCTTACTGAGTTCAATTTCGAACATGGTCCTTCGAGATGTGGAGAGGTGAAATAAAGGTGTAGGACATTTTCCTTTTGTGTAAGACACGTTGTCGTTTTATCGGCCATCTTGGCTTTTTTTCACGTTCTCGAGCGACGTGGCTGACGCGGTCAATGCGCCAGCACGTAGTCCGTACGAACACACACACACTTATAGCCACATCTCTTTCTCTCTTTTCTTCATTCGTTTGTCGTCGGGTGCGAGCGAGTCCATTGTTATTTTGGGGACTCACTGCTGCTCGTGCTTTGGTCGTCATCAGCGTGTGCTGCTGCCTGCCTCTGCAGGCTACTGCTCGTGCTTTGGTCGTCTTCAGCGTGTGCTGCTACCTGCCTCTCCAGGCTATTGTGACAACACCACTGCTGCTGCTGGCTTCACGGGTCCTTTCGTCGTCAGCGTATGCTGCTGCCTGTCTCTGCAGGCTATTGTGTCTGCACCACTGCTGTCAAGTCCTGCAGGTCTTTCGAACTCAACATAACTACGAATACTTGGTCCTGTTTACACGGTTTGTAAAATTTTATATTTTTGGTTTGTAACATCAGTTCCTTATAACTTTTCGTTTTTTTGTTTACCGATTGACTTGAATATATTTTTGCGAACTTAACTTATTTAAGCACTTGTAAAAATTAAGGACACTACCGTTGTTTAGCGTTATTGTTAAATTAGTTAGCCTTTGTCTGACTTAAGCTTGGCAACGGTAAGTGGTTTGTATTTATTTATTGAAAATTTATTACTTGAATTAAAATTTACCTATCAAAATGGATAACCTTTATGAGGTACAAGTCAAACTATTTAACAGAAGTAAAGGTTCCTTTACAAACTTTAAGAAACTTGGCCAGGTGAAAATGACCAGAGGTCAGGCTGACTTTAGACTTCAAAAACTCAGAGATACTTTTGAACTGTTTAAATCCACTTATGATAACATTATAAATATAAAACCGTTACCCACAACTCATGATTATTTTAAAAATGAGTGCTTTGAAGTGGGAGAGGATACTTTTTATTCAGTTCAGGGTGATTTTAATGATTTTTTTAATTCGCTTAATGATCATTCGAATCCAACAGGCACCTTACCTCCTACTAATGCCAATGTTAGTTCGTTTCAGAGTTTCTCTTCTTTACCTCCAAAAGACTTGCCATCCTTTGATGGTAATTTTCTAGTCAGGAGAGTTTTCGCAATGTTTTTAGGGCTGAAGTCCATAGGAAGCAAGAATTACCATCTATTATTAAATATCAACATCTTAGAGCGCATCAAAAGGGTGAAGCTTTAGACCTCATTAAAAATATACCCTTGTCTGAAAAGAGTTATATACAGGCCTGGGAAACCATAACCCGGTATTATGATAATAAACGTTGTCTCATTTATACGTATACAACTACTATTTTTAGTTGTCAAGCTATGAGAGGCAGTTCTTGCTCTAAAATGAAGCGCCTATCTGAGGAGATGATAAGTTCTGTTGATTCCTTGATATCTTTAGCGAGAGCCATAGTAGATGCTGACATATTTATCGCTCTTGTAGTTAGTAGATTTGATTTCGCAAACGAACAACTATTGGCAAAAAATGTTAGGTAGTAGCAGTAATCCTCCTACTTTAGGTTAACTACGAGACTTCATTTTGGCACAAATCATTACAATGGAATCGTTTCCTTGTAAACCTGTAAATAAGATTGTAAATATTCGGGCAATTACTTCGTTTAAAAGTAAAGGATCTTCTAGTAGTAAGCCTATATCTGGTGTTACTGCACATCAGACAGTTGTTTCAGATTCCATTGTTTGTCAATTTTGTAATCGAAAACATCATCTTGTCTCTTGTGATTCATTGAAATCACAGGAGTGGAGCAATAAATGGAAATGTCTGAAGTTCCATCGTCTCTGTGTTAATTGTTTTGGTCCTTACCTTAATCAAGAGTGCTCTGGTAATAGTAAGTGTTCACACTGCAACCAAAAGCATCACACCATTATGCACAAAGGGGATAAGTCCAGCTCTACATCTGTCTCTGCTAAAAATAAGCAAACAAAATCTGTAAATAACTTGACGAATTTCTTTACTGTACAAAACCAAGCTCAGATTTATTCAGAATCCAGTGTAAATGTACAGTCATGTAGTAGTAATAAAATTGTCTCACCCAAGGTGCTTTAAGCTACTGCTCGTATTTTCGTGTATGCCACTGATTGATCTCGCACATTGGTACGAGCTCTTATTGATCAGTGCTAACAGAATTGTCTTATTACTAAATCTCTCTGTGATATGCTGCATTTGAAACCGAAATCAGTTAGTACGACTATGTCAGGAGTGGGTGGACTGATTTCCATGTACGCTAGTTAATCGGTTGCTTTC